ACATAATAAAATAAAACGCTCTCAAAGTAGCTACGATCTAAAAATTTGGGAAATAACTTCAGCGTATAATCCACGAGTCAAAGGTTGGTGCAGTCACAATGCATAATGCAGGAGGCTTTCGACGCGTTTGACTCCACCCCTATTCTGTGCCTCTTTTTGTTACCGTGGTACAAACTAAAAGAGGTTATAACTCTTACTAAACTCACTGTGAACTTTTGTTATGTACTTTAAATCACTATTATAATATGTTAGTTTTAAGTGTGAGATAGCCATTCTTCGGCACGAATGGGTCGGCTCGACCGGAGTGATACCACGGCCTCACAGAAAATCGGCGTGAAACAACCATAGCGATGTATTTCGCCGTGTAAGTGCGGTTACCGGAGGCCCAATCCTTTCCATCCTCCAATCCAAAATCTCCCAATCCCTAATCCCCAAAAGGTCGGCAACACACTCGTAACTCCTTCGTCGTTGCGGGTATCCATGGGCGGCGCTGATTGCTTACCATCAGGGGTAATCCGTCCGCTCGTTTGCCGTAAAAATTACGTCAATTTTTATCATGACCTTGAAAAAAGATAAATTGGCTTGTACAATTTCCGCTAAATTCTTAACCCTTAAGGAGTAACCAGGCAGCAAAATGGCTATAGCCGCGCATAGCTTGTTATTGTCGTAAGTGCCTCCAACTTAAAGTTAAAGTTCAAAGCTTCATTTTATTTTTAGATTTAAGCGCTATACCAGCGCCGCTTAAAGACGTAATAACAGAAGTTTTGGTGCCATAAATGTAAAGAAGAGCAGAATTCTGATGAACTGTAAATCTTTAAATGGACGAAGGATTTTTAATGATGGGAAATGGGCGTACTTTTACTCTCAATATGGGAAAAAAAGAACACGATATACGCAAACTCTTAGTTTAAACGCGAAAGACTTTGTTTTATAGCCGAAAAGTTTTCGTGGAAAATCGAGAATAACATAAAAAGTCTTAAATGTCATAATGAAGCATGGACATACTGCTTCAAAATCATGAATGGCCTACAAACAAATTTCGTTCTTGATTCTGGGGCCGTTAAGACGAAAATCAATATTGTTACATCCGTAAAAGGTCAAACAAGGGTTTAACAATAAAATCGAAAGCAATTACAGAAAGTAATTTATAAAAAATTGCGTATTTTTTATCGAAAATTATAATGAAGCTGTGCCCTTAGAAGGGTAGAGTGTCCAATTAAGTTCAATTAATATAACAGGAGTTCAACAATCTGCTTTTTGAGTTTGATCAGACAAAAAAATGCGGTATTTAACCGGAGAAAATTTACGTAGAAAGTGAATTTTTGGTTACAATTTAGGGTATACAACACAAGGGTGTACATGTATTGTGATTTTTTTTATAGAAGAAGAAAAAGAGAAGATCACATGAATTCTGCGAATTATTTTTTGTAGGGACATACTTCACAGGATGTTTTGTTATTTTATTTTATGTGCGTTTGCATGGCACAGTTTACGAGAAGTCGGATTACCTAATAGTAATAGCAAAGCGTAGTTACGAGCTGTCGACCTTTTGGAGGTTAAGGATTTCAGGGTTCAAAATTTGGGGATTCCTTGTTGGTTGAAACATGGCTCTCCCACCCTTAAAATACTTATGATGTGTACGTACATTATTTTATCATAGCGTAGTATCGTGGTTAAGGCGCCCAGTTCTCATGCATGTGGGAGTAACCAAGTAAGTAAGTATGTAACTTTTTCGTAATTATATGTACTTTCTAAGATTATTTAGGCATAACTGACATGCGGTGAAGGTAAACATCGTGGGGAAACCAGGAGTTATATATAATTTCTGACTGCACGGTTGGTGCGGTGGCTGGGCAACTGGCTGCCGTGCAACGTGTCGCGGGTTTGATTCCCGCACGGAACAACACTTTGTGTGATCCACAAATTGTTGTTTCGAGTCTCGGTGTCATATTGTGTATGTGATATTGTAAGTTTGTAAACGCACCCACAACACAGGAGAAAATCCTAAAGTGGGGCAAAGTTTTTTTAAAGAAAAAAACAAAAAAAAACAATTTCCATAATTTTTAAATCGCCAACCTACCTTAAGCAACCTTGGTGATTAACGCTCAAACCTTTTCTCCCTCTGTTAGAGGCCTTTGCATAGCAGTGGGCACTTATAGGCTGACGATGATGATGACAATATTTTAGTCATAAGTGATATGCTATAAGGCTTGCAAAATGTGTAATGGATGTAACAAAGCCAAAATTTTCATTAGACAAAACCTTGGAGAGAAATATAGAGAAATCTCCAAAGAAAAAACTTAATGTAGACGGCTTCCTTGAATTCCATTGTCTCAGAGCAATGTACTACATCGAAGCCTAATTAACGCAATATTCTGAACGATATAAATCAAATGGAGTTGGCCCCTGCTCTCACATTATTTTCACTTGGCCCCCTCAGGGCCACGGTAATTTTTTCCTTCTCAGCAGAGTGATAAATGGTTTGCGTGAAAAGGCAGAATTCTGTTTTGAACGGTGAATTATTATGATCGCTCGATAGGGATGCAGGAGATTTTTTTTTTCATGCTTAACGTGAGTGTGGCCACTTAGTGGCAGATAACATCTAACTGCACCTATTGATTGGTAATGTGCTAGCTTAGTTTGATCACTGGGATTACTCCAGATACACTTTACTTTACATTAAATTTAAAAAACACACAAAAAAACGCTCTAATAATCATGAAGGTAATAGTAATGAGCTTTTAATTTTTACTGTAGTTTTTTAGGCCTATATATTATCATTAGTGTTTTGGATAAACTAAAACCACCCTATATTATTTTGGACAACATTTTCGCTAAAATTTTCATTCAATAAAATTCAGTAAATACTAAAATCAGAGCATCTTTTTGAACTCTCAGACATTAGACCTTTTCAAAGTTAAAAAAAAAATATAATCCTGAATTAGTTACTGATATATTTTTATGATTTCAATATTATGTCCTCTTCAAACAACGTGTATGAGTTTAGCGTTGTATTTTATATTGTGACCCCAGGGAATATAGGTTTTTGCTCGATTTTAGGGTCAAACCTTTCATCTTTATATATAAGGTTACATGTTATAAGTATATGTTGGACTCAGTGTTTTATATTTTATAAAAACGTGTTAGTTTTCTTTTATTATTTGTTCTGTTCTGTATACATAATTTTAACCCATGTATACATGTTAAACATACCTTTTATCTATACTAATATTGTGAAGAAGTAAAATTTATAAGTTTGTATGTAGGGGGTAACCTTTGGAACCGCTGGTCGGATTGCCAAAATTCTTTCACTGATAGATAGCTACAATGTTAGTTATATTAGCTAGTTTAGAATAAAATTATAACAAAACAAGGCAAAAAGCATGGCAACAATCTTTTGTTTAAACGTCGATTATAGTTGCCAAGCAACCACAGACTCAATAGCTTTGCCACTTAACTAACAAACAATAAATATTTTACAGACACAAAAATAAAAATCATATATCACAATAAACTGTCGTGTTTTTGTTTTGAAAACATGCTAAATAAACAACAGCAGCAGACGTAAGTACTAGGGCAGTAAAATTTATAGGCTTGACTTGCGTGGCCAGGCCATAACTTAGGTTAGACCCGCAAGGTCTAATATCCAAGATGGAAGCACTGTTGTACACTGAAATACGAGTCCCTTAACGGTTCTACAGTCTTCAAGACTCGTAAACAGTATCCTTGAAAATGTTACTGGTGAAAAAAGGTAAATGTAAACACTTTTGAAATTATGCTAGATCCTGCTCTTTTTAGAATAAAATGAGACACACAGCAACATTATGTTAAGAACAGGCTATATGTTTGTAGTGTTTTTATTATTTATGTACTTTTCTACCGGACACAGTACAGATACTAGTACAGTTCTCTCCATTGCTAAATAGGTTTTAGAAGTAAAAACCTGAGAATAAACGAAAATAATAAAATAACAACAGGTTTCTATTTTGTCTAACCACAACAAATTATCAGCCTCTCCATGCTAATATTTAAATTTAGAAATAAAATTAAGCTAAAAGTAAATTCACCGTACAATGTTAAAATATTAAGGAAGTTAAACCTCGTTCATTATTCAAGGAAAAAATAATTGAACGTCGTTGTAAAAGAGCCGATCCCATTATGTCCCTTCATTGTTTCAATCTGCGGCTAGAATTGGAGACGTTGAATATCCTATTATGTCTTTATTACAACAAATTATTTGCAGTCAAATATATTGATGGGCGTACCAGGGAGAATGCTGATGCCTCAATAGCTTGTCGGCAATGGAAATTTGATTTCGATATCGTCTCACAAAGAAATTTTACGATTTCTCCCGACTTTTTTTTGTTTCCTTTTTTTAACACAAGCTGTAACGAGATTGCCTTTTTGATTGAGTACGAATTGGTGTCCAGTTGCACTGAGTAAAAAATTGATGGTGGATGGTATTACTCGTTAATAAGTCTGGAGCTCAGGACTGTATACCTACTCAAGGCGGATTTTTTCTTTTAAGTTGGTTTTAACGTACAAGTTTCCCAATACGTGTATGAAACCGTCAAAATAGTCACAGTCCTAAAAAAAATTCAAATAATACAAAATTATAACTAACCTATGCATGTTTTCCCATCTATGAAAATGAAATAAAATATCAAATTTGCCCAAATATAAACATTTAAGTACTATTGAATCGTTCTGGACTTCCTAAATTGCTGTTTTGAGTAAATGAAACTATATAAAATGGAAGGGATTTTACAAAATTTTGGATATTGAATAAAAATGTAAATCAGTGGGTACTAACAGTAAAACAAAGCTTCGTTTTCGTATAGTTGTATTAAATAAAAAATGATAGAATCGATGTGTTTTACATCATCAACAATAGTCCTTAAATAATAAATATCAACGTTTATCACAATGTTAGTCAAGAAACTACAATGTGAAACTTACAAAAGGTAAAACCAAATATGTAAATAACACAGCAGTTTCTGACCACATTGAAAATCATAAGAATTAGTATCTAAATGCTCCAGGCATTACATACTTGTAGAAAAAATACTTAAACATATTTAAGATACGGTTTGTATCTAATCAATGGTCCAATCGTGCACCTCATTCACCATTCTGAATTCAAAACCACGTTGGCAGTTAGGACAGAACTTTGGCGTAAAAGATAATTTAAATCCTGAGAATGATTACATCTTGCAGGATGATAAATATCAAAAAAGAACGTGCTTTCTACATCTACATCTTACTTAGTCTTATTCGTCTCAACTTCAGTCTTCGATGTTTTGATATTCTGAATAACTTCAGGGATCTCCTCTTGTAGGACCTTGCTTTCTATAAGGTCAGGATTTTCTGCCAAAATGGCTTTACCTTCCGGACTGTCAATACTTGGAGCTTCACCGTGATACGTATCTTCAGTGTATGCACGGTTCTGTTTCCTCATGGTCCCGTGCAACTGGAAAATGAAAAATAAATTGTATTAACGACATTAGTTCAAGTAAATCGATTTGTAAATATAATCCATCACTAGTGCTTGTCTTCAAATAATTGTTTTTAAGTGAAATTTTATATAAAATCTTAAAAGTTTAATATATGATTTATGACTATCAGTTTAAAACAAGCAAATCGATTGCTAAACTTTTCTGGAACAATGCCAAAAGTAAATTGCATTGCTCTTTGATTCACCAAAGACAAACTAATCCGACATCTCATAAATTTTAAAGTTTTTAATATTTAACATAGTCTATTGAATAATATAAATAGTAAGTAATTTTACTTTAGTAGGCAATGAATATGATTACGAATAGGCTTCCCTACGATAGGCATACCTTCCAGGTATTTTAAGAAATTTGTACAAGTTATTGTACTAGTATTATAATTCCTCTTGTCATTTCTTCTACAACCTTTTAATCACTTAAGCCAATTGAAGGAATTTAATTCAAATACAGTGTTAAAGTAGTTTCACTTTAAATACAATTGATGGTAAGTTATTAATTTCTTGCTTACCTTATCCCACAAAGACATGTTGAACCCGAAGTTGCAATGGAAGAACTCATGGTGTTGGTCGTGGAACTCTGCGTCAGGTTGCCACGGCTGCCACCACTGAGCCTTGAAGTTGATACCAGAGTGATCGATGATACCGTGGTAGTACACGTAGATAGCCACCGAGTAGAATGACACTGGAAAATAATTAAAATAGAAATTAATTTAAATTATTTATTTAATTTACAATTTACAATTAAAAAGTTATTCTCTATTATTTAGAGTTATTTTTTAATAATGTTCTACTTACACCAATGTACAGGGATGGTAAATAAGGGCAGGCAGCTTGTGAGCTGAACATGCAGAATCTCGAAGGGATGGATGGCAGTGACAGAGAATGCAGTCGGCTGCTTGTACTTGTGGTGGAGCTTGTGGAAGTGCTTGTACAGCCATGGAGTGTGGTACAAACGATGAAGAATATAGGTAGTGTAGTCCTGGCAATAGAAATGAAAAATAAATATGTGGTTCTATTTAAAATAAAAGTTATTAATGATAGAACTACATGTTTAATATACTTACAGCATACAAGAAGATGACTGGAAACTGCAAAAAGAACCATAACCAGCCGTACTCGTCGAACTGGAAGTAGACGGTGGAAGGGTTGCCGTTGTAGATGTAACAGGCAAGGAAGGCAGAGAAACTGCCAACGATGAGGAGTGATATGGTGCCAACCATGATTTCGTGACGTTCTAGCTCGGGAGAGAGCCATTTGTCAGGCTGGATCTTCCATTCCTTGGCACGGTGTCTCCTATTCATATAGAAGTACCACTGGAAATAAAATGTTCATGATCAAGGTTATAATATTCTTCTCACCTGCAGGTGAATGGACATTGATCGTTTGAAGATATTAAGATACTGCGTAAATCAATAACAATTGTTGTGTAATTAAAAAATTGTTGCCTACCTATTACATTACGTCATTATCGTTATCAAAGCAAATGATAATAATTAATCTTGTAAATCAATTAATATTTTAAACATTCAAGTGTGGGAGACTATCAAAACAAAGATCGTGTAACACGCGTGTCTTAACCAGCTTCGTCATATCAGCAGCGCTTTGATAATCCTCAAGTACGTGTGTGATGAAAGTCAGGTCTGCAAATTCTTGGACAAAGTTATGATTATAACGAAAGATAACAAAAGGATTGTTCCTTATCTCAGTGACGTAAATATTAATAACTGAAAATTAATTATTACCAAGGAAGGATTAGAGATTTTATTAGATTATTGCTTTTGAAAGGGAGAATCTTGAACAGATATTTGGACGGGCAATTAATATTACCATCATGATTAATGGGGGAAATTGAAACGAATATATTTTGTAATAGATTTCTATAATCAAAGCTGTCTGATAAATAATTTGCAGATCTCGTGCTAGTAACATTTACAGTAAAATAATACGAAAATATATGAGAATAAGTTCCTTTTTTTTAAAGCTGAACGAACTTTATCTTAAATAAACGAAATGTACACGCATGACACATAAATGCACATTCTATCTCTAAAGTCAAATCTAGGTTTTACGCTTCACTATCGTTCTAGAATGGAGTTCGAGTCGGAAGTTTTCTAGACAAAACCAATTTGCGGTATTCCTGAATTTGTTTTCGAGTTTCAAAGTGTTGGGAGTAAGCGTGTGGAAAATGTTAACGTTTGTGATTTTTCGAAAGTAGATTTTTCACGATTTGTTCTTCAAAGTTTAAATGTTTTTATTGTGCGAGCATGTTAGACTGCGAAGTTTGATGCTTAGACAACAGTTGCTTAACAACAATTGTTTTAAAGAATATAGCTTTGAGAAACTTGACCATATAAAAAGATTGATTTAATTCACGAAACTTTTGCAATTTTGTTGGAAAAGTGAATAGATTAATTGATAAGTGTTGTAGTTTTAATACGTGCTAAACATAAAAGCCACAACAATGAATGGAAAGTTACTCCAGAAAAATATGAGTTCCAAACAAAAATTGTAAAAAAAACTTACGTGTAAGAAACCGCCAATGAGGAAGTATGTCGACAACGACACGGCGTGAGCTCCAATGAAGAACATGGAGAAGTTCTCCATCTTAAGGTTTCTTGAGGAGAACAGCTCCAAGATGGCAGTGGCATTTGTAGTGTTCTGTGTTTGACCAGTTAGCTGCTTTAGCGCTGTTACCAGGATCACCACCCATTCTCCTGGAAATCAAATTAAAAAGAGGTTAGTCCATGACATATCTTCAAATTCATAAAAAAATATGCTGGTGTTGCCTATAAGGAAATAGCAATATTCGAAATTAAGAGGCGAGTTTGGATGTTAGTAAAAAAACTCGGCCTTGTGTGGCCGGTGTGGTTCAAAGTGAGTTTAAGGCACAGTGGATCCATTTTTTAGAAGGTAAAATGGTTCCACAGTTTTTATTTTCCTATCTATTATAATAATAATTCTGTCTTGAATTTTAAGACTGACTAAGTTAACAAATATATTTTAGAGATCTGTAAAACTTTAAATCTGTCATTACACATTTAAATGGATTTCCTTTCCAAGCCTATATGCCCTCGTACTTCACCAAACATCTCCAATTATGTCAACATGGTACATAAATCTTTGTAATAAAAGTACATTTCTGTATAAAGCAAGCTATCTTCGTTGATTAATTTGCACTTTATTAACGGTGTCGATAACTCAACGAGCTTTTGGAATAATTAACTAGTAAAATCGAAACAACAAAAACCTATACATATTCAGAAGCAAATTGGAAACTTTGTTTTAATTTGAGCAGATAACGAACCTACTTCACTCGTAAATAAAGTATCAAAGCGTTTCTCACAACAAGATTATTCTAATTACAATTCATTTTAACAAATCAATAGATTAATACATTTTTTAATGATATCTCATGATAAAAATCATTATTTTGGGGTAATTTACCGTATTTAAAAACAAAATATTGTTGGACCAATAATCAGTTTGAAATTCTCACTTTAAATGAGTACAGATGTTTGATTATGGTACATATATATCATAGATTATTTATTTATTTAACCTTTATGCACAACGTACATAGGTGGGCTTAATGCCAACAAGCATTCTTGCTTAGATTACCGTCTAAGAATTCTTAATTTAATTAAGGACTTTGAAAAATGATTCACTTTTTTTTTAGTTGATGATACGCTTAAAAACGTCTACCTTCGGGAATAACAGAACTATATGGAAGAGTTGTTATCACTCAATTGAAATGTTACTTGATTCTAACAGAGGTCTTTCTAGCGATACTTACATGAAAATAATCTTGTGTGTGATTCCAGACTTATATAATTGTAATCATTTACAATTAATGTTCATTTAAATCTATTCACTAGAGTAGAGTATTTCAGTTTTTACGTGAAGGAGTAAAAAGTATCAATCCATCTGAATAAATTTTGCCTTTGTTATTAATATAAAACGTGTTTATTGTGTTAAGTAAACTTTGGTGTGTTGTGTTTAACAAATAAAAAAAAATCTTTATCATTATTTAAAGTTCATAAACCTTTGTAAGTCAAAGGCATATACTTAATATAAGACATTATTTTTGTATTTCCATCATCCTAATACCAATGTCAAAGATAGCTTATCGAATTAATCAATTAGCTGTATTGTCATGATTAGTACATACATACTAGTAGTTAATACGTAATTATTTTTGTCGTCAAGAGGATATTATGAAATCTTTAAAGTTTAACTTTAGATTAATTATAGAATATTTTCAATGTCCCTCTCTAATCCCAAAACCCTAATCTCCAAAAGGACGGCCGGATTGCTTACAGTCAGGTAATCGGCCAACAAGTTTGTTACCACTTACAAAAAGTTGTAACCTATTAATGCTTCGTCCATAAAATTTTACGAGTACCAGTAATTAACTTATGAAGTCTGGTCGAGATCAAAGTTGTAGAAGATTGAGCTCAGTGACTAGTTAATGGCGAGGCGTTTCTACAAAAAAAGGATTTAATACACCAGCTATCTGATGATGTCAGAGAATACTTGCTAGCTTCTCAATTTTATTCTATTAATTACTAAAACTAAGTGTTACCTAAAATAAAATCTCATGACAATATTCAAACTATGCTGTTATTTTTATTTTATCAGTTACCAAGTGATTCACGGTCAATCCTTTTGTTGATTCATAATCGTTATCTCATTTTTAAACTTCTGGTGTTACTCTTGCCTTGTGTGTAACTATAGGAACTATCTAATCTATATTCAGATCACCGATGATATAATACTTGTAATACTTCATTTTTACAAATGTTGCGTATGATTGGTTTCAAAGAAATTTCCAATTTGTGATTACTGGGTCAGTGTGATGTGTACTAAAAATGGTTCAGTATTTTTTGAGGTCACAAATTAAAACCTGCAGAACATTATTTTTTTCTACGTTATGGTATAAGTCTCAAAAAATAACCGGATGCTTTGTCCTAATCTCGACATTGCTCACGTGTTTTAGACGGTGTTTATTGAAATTCTTGATTTTTATCACTTTTTTCTTTACCTTCATGTAACCTAGCCAATCAAAACAAAACTTCCTCAGCCATATTTAAGCTATTGTTCGAGATTTATTCCAGCTGATCAACAGGTATTTATTAATATTTGTTTGTTGCTAAAGTTCATTCTAAAGGTCGTCGATAAAAATAATCGAAACGTTATCGATATCATGACAAATATACCTAAAGTATGAAAACAAAGCGGCATACCTCTCAGCGTGGCTCCGAACGTGAATATAGCTAATGTTGCTATGAACGTGGATATGAATTCTGGCAATCGTTCGAAGAAGTTCTCCAGATTTTCGCCATATTTCTCAATCCATTTTACTCCATCTGTCAATGGTTCCCAGTACTTTTGTTTCTTCTCTTCATTAATCCCATTTTGCTTTTCTCCCTTGCTATCCTTAACTATCCTCTGCTTCACTTCAGCTCCTGTCATCCTGTAATCAATATGATTTCATTGTTCAGCTATTTCCACGTAATCTTTGATTGTAGTCTTCAACTAATTGTAATTTGTACTAAAGGATTAAATTGTGACGTCATTGATATAGATACCATAATTACAAATTTATATGAATATGAATATGTTAGAAGTTACTTATCAGGCACATCATTTAGAAAAGCGACATTCGATTTGGTGTTGATTTAAAATAACAAACTATTTGTACTCTGCACCAGTTGTTTGACTTGATATATGCATTATTTAGTTATAAAATAGCTCGAAGTTACTCTTTGTTTTATGCTAAAAATACCATATCAATTGAACTCGTCCTAAATGACGCATATGCATTCAATGTTATAGAAGCCAGTCAACTTGTTTTAAGATAATTTTAAGTACTATATACATTTGTTTATTAGTGAACGATCAATCAGTATTAACTAGAGACCGCACAAAAGAGAATAGTCTCACAAGAACAGGAGAAGTATTTGTTAAAGAGAATCAGAATTCATATTGCTGTGAATTGTTTTACAAAGTAAAGGGACTGAGACGTTTGATGTGGTATCAGTGCGACTGAATACTTAATGTTAAGCCATACTCCTGTTGTTGGTACATTTAAGAGTTTCTAGACAATACTCTCATTGAATGTCAGCCCACTTTATGATTGTATCTAATAAAACCTCTAAAGCCAATGACCCAGAATATATCTGTAAACTAAATTTTAATAAACTATACTTATAGTAATAATACAGCTAACTAAAATTTGATGAACCGATTTATTTAAATTACTTTCAGAACTAAACAGACGGAATAATTCGAATATGTTTATTAGTTATTAAAAAAAATACAGTAAATATTATATTTCACGTGAAGTGAAATGTTATAATAGATAGTTTTGTTAAATTATGTATGTTATAGCTGATTCTCAAAAGCTATAGGAATGGCACGTGTAGATGTTCACTTATTAATAGAAAGTCTATTTAAAAATAATAAAGAACTCACTTGTTTTTTTTAAATTCAGCACAACATGAAACACGTCTTTTTTAGACTAATTATCACCACCAAATGAATTCAAACATTCGCATTTTTTGCGAACTCCGGACAGATAAATGTACGAGCGAAACTTTAGGTACTACGTGAATATAATTATGTTATTAATACACAGATTACTGACTTATCAGATTATTTTTTCGAACTGATTACAAAATTAAAGATTTTTCGTTTCTATTACTTTTATCTTGCCAGTGCTGGACAACTAAAGGTCGTATTATTAATTACCAATAAATTTCAAATTTGATTAGAAAAAAGTCGTACGAACTTCTCAAGCCTCAACAAAGTGTATTGAAATTGATTTCAGTCAATCGTGGACACTAATTGGTAAGGTAAAGACAAACTGCAAATTGTTAAGATCTTGTGATTTTGTAAAGAATGTCTACCGTGTGTGGGTTTGAATTATTGATGTTCAACCACGTGTATGTTTGAATTGTTGATATAAAACCATATTTTAATTCTATAATACACGTGAATACATTTATAGATTATAAAAAGTATAGGCTAAAAACATAAAAGCTGATTCACAGAACACATCAAAACAATCTGGTATGACTCATTCAGACGAGCAACATTTAGTTGACGGCATATCGCCGACCACGTATCGCCGTAAGCAAAGCACGTCGGTGCAGTTATGGTCGAGTGAAAGTTTATCAGTTTATACCTAGGTTGACAGGTGGCGACGATACGCTTGTATTTGTTGAAACCTTAAAGAGGTTGCCCGTCTGCATACATTCTTCTTATTTTCATATTTTGAACAACATATACATATGTATATCAAAACCAGGCAGCGCCTTATTGCAAACGAGTTACAACAAAGATATAAAAAACTGGCGTAGCAACTTTTAAAAAGCCTTACGGAATCTTAAACAGCGACTTAAAAAAGCTGTTTATTTAAATAAAAGATTTGATTCAAAAGGAAAGGAATAATCACAAGATTCCTGCATCGTATATGGTATCAAAAAACACGAAGTGACTTTACTCTCTACTCTAGCTACTGACTAAAACCATCCCGTCCCTTCTTCCACAATGGGCCCCATTTGTGGTGATCTACTGGCTCATACTACTAGTTTTACGCTTGTGGCTGGTCGGGCCCTGAACGCTTGCTCGCCGACCGTGCTTTCGGTGGCCAAAGAATGTCGTGCGATACCTAACAACGCCACATTTATTTTGCATAAGGAAGTGACGGCGTCTCTGTTCCTCAAGTTCTGCTGCATGGCCTGGATTAAGGTCGGGCGCCAGAGATGTTTATCATATAGGGATGTAGATCACAGTTAAAAAGGTTTAGATTGAGGCAGTAGAGCCTCTGTCTACCATCCGATCTGAAATACGAAGTTGATAGGTCGGTTTCCTTTTTAAAATAATGTAAGCTTTGAAACAAATCTTTAAAAGATTATGCCGAATTGCTAAGTAGGTTAATTAATACCCCATACCGAAGCCGGGATTGACTACAAGTGATTTACATTAAAAATTTGTTTGTTTGCACTGTTATTAATATTGAAGATAAGTACAAGATACTTTGGATCATTGATCAGCGATTCAAAGATATCATTACCAATCAGTACCAATTAAATACATCGTCATTCGCAGGTGGTACAAGTGAGATGTCATGTACATACTTAATTACGTATTGCACAGTTTATTATGATGCAACAACTTTAAATGACACTTGTATATATTTATATATAATGTCCAAATAATACTGAACGGCTTATACATAGTTTCAATTCGATAAAATATAATTTAAAGACAAATAAGACAGAAGAATATTGTCTTGTTTGTAACCCACCTTAAAATATCTACATCGAATTTCTTTTTTAAACTTTTTTCGGTCAAAAACGTGATCTTGAGAAACCTGAATGTCACTTCAACAATCTCCATAGTTTGTATAACTAAATAAATACCTACCTAAGTGTGTTCATGTCAATGACTTTTAGTTTATAAGTGTTGGAGAGCCAAGCAAGCTTTGGCCTTGATAATAAACCAGAGTATAAGGCCTCAAAAAAAAAAACATTTTTCCCTAACCCTTAAAAGGCCGGCAATGTATTTTTAACTCGCCTAATGTTATGGGTATCTAGGGATGTTGCCGAATGCTTTCTATCAGTCTCGTTTGCTAAAGTCCAAAATATACCTATGATTTATAATTTTTTTGGAATAATTCTTAGTTCAGCTTGACTCTCTCTCAAAAATAATGCATCCTTAATTTATATATCCAAAAAGTATATATAGAAGCATTCTTAAAGATTGTGAGTACGCATATGTGAGCGCCATGTTCGAGACGACAAAGGAGTAAAATTTTATGATAGTTTGTTTGTTCCTTTTTTTTAACAACTTGTCACTGCATTGTTCTCACATAAGGGTACAATAATGTATACTATAAATGTTATATTATTGAAATTGTAAAACATTTTTTTTAAAAGAGTAACGAATGGAGTTTCTGGCTCGTTCTTCTCCATTCGAATCTACAATTTGGAATGAGCACCTAGCTTCACTGACGAACAGACTGACAGACTACTTCTCTATTTTGACGTTTCAAAAGTACCTATTTATGGTTTAGTTGGAATAAATGATTTTGACTTTGACTTTGACTTTGACTCCGCTTTAACTTCGTGGTTGAATGTGCCTTTTTCTGCAGGCGTTTCATAGCGTTTAAAGGAATATTCCTATTCAATTCCTTTCTTCTTTATCTTATGTGTATGTATCTTAATTAGATTGAGGATATTAAAATATCATTTAACCTAGAAGAGACATTTAAATTGGAAAAATTAAGAATCTATATATTGGTTAATACTTCCACGTTTCATTGCATAGTTCCATGGAACAATGGCTTTAACAATGACATTGTACGCGAATATTATCAGTTTGTAAACATGTGATTTAGTGCTTCTAAAATTTCCATATTTAGAAGACTGGTTAGTAAAGAATTTCAACTTTATTTCTTTGCAAACTCGGTAAAAATGTAATGAAAATAAAAACAGACAACAGTGCCATACACGGGCACCCGCAACAACGGAGGAGTTACGTGTACTTTGCCAACCTTTTAAGGATTAGGGTTTTGGAGATTTAGAGTTTGGAGAGGGATTGGGCCTCCGTTTACCACACTCGAACCGCAAATCACAATACTGTGGTTATTTCACGCCGGTTTTCTGTGAGGACATGGTATCACTCCCATTAAGCCAACTCATTCGTGCCGAAAAATGGCTCTTCCACACTTATTTGCTTGTGTACTAATATACTATAATATCGACTGTACTATAATATCAATATGGTAAAACAGTATTTACAGCTAGAATATTACGATAAAATTTGACAATTACGCATCTAATATTTTTTATGCTCGTATTTTTTAATGATGGTGACAGTCTAATGGTGCTATGGTCTGGACGATGCATCGTGGGCAGACCTCCCGGTAGGTCGAGTGAGTCGCCATCTTTGATGTTGCATGGAGCTCAAAAACTTTATGTGGGCCAGGAGTTGTCTTTTTCCAGATGATAATAAAGATGATTTTTAAATGTAAATAATACTATAAGTGTGATAGAACCATACTTTGGCACAAATGGGTTGACTCGACTGGAATAATACCACGGCCTCACAGAAAACCAGCGTGAAACAACCACAGAGTTATGTTTCGCCGTACAAGCGAGATTACCTACCAATATCTTCCCCTTCCCAATCCCAAAATCTCCAAGTCCCTAATCCCCAAAAGGTCCACAACGCGCTCGTAACTCCTCGGCTGTAGTGAGTGTCCATGGGCGGCGCTGATTGCTTTCCATCAGGTAACCTCTTTCCTCGTCACATAAATAAATTGTTCCGGTTCTATTCTCCATTTTCCTTTTCTATTGATCGAATATAGTGAGTATATACCAACCATACCACCATATTCACACGTATACTAGTTATAAGTCTAAAATTACGAATACATTAAGTACGTAGAATTTGAATTCAACTTTATTCAATTCAGTTCAAATTGGGTATTAAGTTTGATGTATTCCATCCAACTTGGATACAACTTGCTACAGAAACAGATACGCATTAGATTTCCAACTATATCGCAGATAGCTTAGAATTAAATTTAGATTGTCAATACACAAAGGAATGTTTTCGATTTCCTTAGCGGAAAATAAGTTATCTACATTAAACCCCTATTTATCAGTACTACCTACATTTAATTTGCGTCAAAATATAATTTAAATCGACATTATGAAATATCTATAAATTTGGCGTGCCTATTAGATACTTAGGTACTTATTAGATACTCA